TAATTCACAGGAACAAATATGCCGTACGGCAGAAGCTGTGCACATATAGCTCATTTTGTTAAATAATATCTCACTACAAGTGATGCACTCTGATATTTTCTATTGTCTTGTTTTATTATGCTTCCATATATTTTTAAATGATAATTACAGCCCCTAAAGTTACTTTACATCTCACACATGGTCTTGACCCTGCCCTTCGAAACTGGCTTAAAGGAAAGTGGAGGACGTATTTTAGCCTGAACTACACATAAGTGTTTTTTCTGTTCCCCTCCCCCTCCTTTTTAATCCATCCCCTTTTTTAAATCTCTGGCAAAATGTCCCAGCATAGGTGGTTATTACTTTTTAAAAACAAAACAAAACTGGCTTTATATAACATTTCCATGAGCATCTTGCAAATCCATTGCCTAGTTGGTGAATAACATTCTCCTGTCTCCCACCCCCAACCTTGCTTCTGCCCTCCCCCCAATTCTACAAAGCCCTGGGATCATGAACACAGAAATCTCATCTATTTATTATAACTTTATGGAGCATCTACTATGTGCCAGGCACTAGGTATGCTGGCATGAATAAAATACACCACTTCCAAGGAGCTCATAGTTCAGTGGAAAAATAGATAACAACTGGGTGTAAAGGCTGTGGTAGGGATAAGTACCATTGCCTGCTAAGGGAGTGCACACAGGTGCACTCAACCCAGCCTTTAGGGGATTGGGAATGGCTTTCTGTAGGTTGAATTGTCAGAGGTGTGTTTCCCTAAAGGTTAAGTCTGAGTTTGCTGCATGAGGAAAGTGGGGTGGGGTGGGGAAGAATGTAGAAAGATGGCTTAGTAATAGTCTTTTTCAGAAATTAGAAATAGTTGTTGAGCAATTCATGAGCCAAAATTTGCTTGTGAAGCTCTTAAGATTACTCAGGGCAGGCCAGGTAGATTCCCATAGAGAAGGAGGATGTTTTGTGGTCCCAGTGTGGAGTATCAGTCTGGTCAACTATGGTTTTTTGGTTTTGGTTTTTTATTAATTTGAGGGAGAGGGAGAGAGAGAAAGAGAGAGAGACATCAATTTGTTGTTCCACTTATTTATGTATTCATTGGTTGATTTTTTAAAGTTAATTTTTAGAGAGGGAGAGGGAGAGAGAAAGAGAAACATCCATGTGAGAGCAGAACATCAATGGGCTTCCTCCTGCACACCCCTTACCAGGGACCGAGCCCATAACCCAGGCATGTGTCCTGACCAGTGTTGGGGGTGATGCACAACCATTGAGGCACACTGGCGAGGGCATTGGTTGATTCTTTTTTTTTAAATATATTTTTTATTGATTTCAGAGAAGAAGAGAGAGGGAGAGATAGAAACATCAATGCATGCCCCCTACTGGGGATTGAGCCCACAACCTAGGCATGTGCCCTTCACCTGGGACCCTTCAAGCCGCAGGCTGATGCTCTATCCACTGAGCCAAACCAGCTAGGGCATTGGCTGATTCTTGTTTGTGCCCTGACTGGGGATCAAACCTGAAATCTTGGCTTATCAGGATAATGCTCTAACCAGCTGAGCTGCCCGGTCAGGCCTGGTAAACCATGTTTTAAATCACAGAGGTGGTTGGGAATCTGGGATGGGGCTGTGCATTTCCTAAGTTAAATGAAGACAAGTTCTTGTGTGCACAGTGGACTCTCATAGGTGTGAGATGGCCACATCCTTTGACTCCTGGGGGATAGGAAGGATGTGCCCTGATCAGAAATTGAACTGGCAACCTCTTGGTGCATGGGTGGATGCTCAACCACTGAACCACAGCAGCTGGGCTTACCAAATCCTTTTATAATAAAGATGATTAGGGCATATCTAAGTAGCAGTTGTGCTTAAGTAGGACACTATGTGAAAACTGAAAGAGTTCCCATTTTCAGGCCTGTAAGAACAGCTGAGCCAACTTTCAGGAAATGAAAGTTTAAGAAGGACTTAGCCACCCAGCTGGGGACATATTATTTTTATGCATATGATGTGCATGCTTATTTTTACAAAAGTAGTGCATATATGTGCACTTTCTTGAATTCTACTTTTTCTCTTTTTTTGTACTTTACATATGTCCATGTAAATGTATTTCTATACATCACATCAATTTTATTTCAGTGAATAATAGTTTATAAAGTATAATTTAGTTAACTACTTCCTTATTTTGAGGTATTCATTCAAAACATAATTTTGGGGCACCTATGGGCCAGAATATTTAGGTTGTACCCACACTTTTTTTCTTACTCTTATAAAGTGAGTAAGTGAATGAAATTTTTTTCTCACTTTAAGTGAATGAAATATGGGAAGGTAATATGGACTAAAATGTGCTGACTATGTAAGAAGTATTTAACCAAGGAAAAGAGCACATCATTATCAGCTTCCACCCCTCCTGTACATGGATAGGTTGAAATTTCTTCAGACCAGAAGACATTCTTGGGTTAGTGTAGTGGAGAAGTTGATGTCTGAGTGGAGAGCCCAGGGGCATTGTCTTGCCTACCGCTTTGTACAATTGTCATTTGTACAATTGTCATTTTTTTTTCTTTGTTTGAATCTAATTTCTGTTCCCCAACAAGATAGGGCAGAGCAACAATGACTGTGTTCCTCAGAACACAGAGAAAACTGCCTAAATGCACAACTGGTAGTATAAACCTTTGAACAGAATGACGAAGTTTTTAATCATCAGCTGACTTGATTCCTTTTTCCGCTCCTGTAATCAGTGAGTGATTCAATTACTGATCAGTTGAGTCAGTTCTTTAGAGCCGTTGATTTGTGTAGATGCAATCATTATCCCAGCAGATTTGAATCATAGTCTGCAAACTAGCCTAGCCACAGACTGCATGCACGTAAGGGAAAGCTCAGGACAAGCTGCAAATTGGGGAACTCTATGAACGGCCTTTCTTTGTACAGTAGAAATATACTGTCCCTTTTGTTTGTGAATTCAATCCCTTTGGATATACTTTCAGGCATGGCGTACGCTTTACTAGCTGCAGTTCCTGTTGGATATGGTCTCTACTCTGCTTTTTTCCCTATCCTGACATACTTTATCTTCGGAACATCAAGACACATCTCAGTTGGTAATTATAAGCATATACTACAATTTGTATTATTCCTGTTTAATATGTTTGGCCATATTGTGTGTATTTTGCTTCCATATCTTTGTTAATGTTTTCCAGGGAAATAGGCCTTTAGTGCTCTGCCTGCTTTTTCTATTTAGAGATGCAAATGGTTCTTCTTAGCTTTCAGAATACTCTGCCTTCAGTTTACTTTATAGTTAACTCTTTTTTCATGAAGCAGAGAAATTGAAAAATGGTTAAAATTGCAGCCTACCTTCACATTTTGGCATGGTTTAGTTTTTTTATTATCATAAACTAGAGGCCCGGTGCATGAAATTCATGCACGGGTAGGGTCCCTAGGTCTGGCTGGTGATCAGGGCTGATCGGAGCCTTCATGCTGCCGGTTGGGGCCTTCCTTCGTTCTGTGCTGCCCCCCTGGTGGTCAGCGTACGTCATAGCGAGTGGTTGAACTCCCAGTCAAACTCCTGAGGAGACAATTTGCATATTAGCCTTTTATTATATAGGATAGGATTTGACTCCATATTTCGAAAGCGTTCTCTTCCATAACAAAAAATGACCATAAAAATCTTCAAGAGGTCTTTGAACTTACTGTTTTACCAGACTGGCTTAGCATTTTACTAAATTATGTTCATCAAATACATATTCATTATTTCATTAAAGAGCATACTTATTTTTAAGTCAGTAAGGTTGGAAGACTGGCAGAATCGTGCCAAAACAATTTTGAAACTAAGCTTGGCTTTCCTTCTTAGTATGGTTCAAAATAGGTTTATTTCCTGCAGTACCTAAAATTTGAATTTTCTTTTGCTAGAATGTTCTACTAAGTAAATGTTTTAATGCTACTCTACTACTTTGATGTTTACCCTTGAGGTAATTTTGCACATACATCCATCCTCTGACAAGACATGTCTACCTGGGCAATCCTCATGAAACAAAGACAACTGTCCACTATATCCCCAACCCACATCCTTGTCCTTAGTTTTATGTCCCCCAGTATCTGGCATATTGCTTTGTCTCTGTAAGGTGGTCAGGAAGAGGTTTTATTGATTGAAAGAACTTCCTCACCTGGGAGAAATGATCAATAGCAAATGCTTGATGAGATAAGAAACATAGAAGCTGATTTTTTTCTCTTTTATATTCTACCCATGTAGACATTTCAGGTTACTGGATTTTGGTACTAGGCCCTCCCAGTTGTTAAAGCCTTCCACGATTAAAGGGTAGGGTCAACATCATCATGGACAAACATATCAGCAGTAAGTGGAGAAGTTGCTGGAAGAAAAGGAGTAATTTCTAAACATAGACTCCTACAGACTGGCATTTGATATATGAAAAAAAATAATTTGTCTTGAAAAGAGAAAAAGGGAAACTATACATTCCCTGTACTGTCTCTATTCTAACTTGAACCCTGTGGTATTGATCAAGGTACTCAGCTCCACAGAACAGAACACTAGATGCTCTAGGAACAAAAGTAAGATGGAACAAGTAAAGACTCAGCTTGTATGCCATCTCTGCCAGGAAATTTTACCTGACAACTCTCCCCCTTCCCATCCCCACATCACCACCAATGGAGATCACACAAGGATAGGTTAGACACCCTTTCTGTACACGTAGAAAGCTGTATTGTAATTATCTACCTACATGTCTCTCTCTTGCTCGTTTCTGGATCCTGAATGCCTTAAAACATTTGCTTTATAGCTTCTTTTATGAACAAACAATATAGATTTTTCCCAATCACAGTTAATTATCTCACACATCTTTCTAATCCTATGTAGACATGACATGTTGAACCTAAACACTTGTAATTAATAATTATTAATTGATAGAGACTTTCTCTCCCAGGACCTTTCCCAGTGGTCAGTTTGATGGTGGGATCTGTTGTTCTGAGCCTGGCCCCAGACGAAAAATTTCTCATACCCAGCAGTAATGGAACTATATCAAATGCTACCATGATAGACAATGTGGCTAGAGATGCAGCAAGAATATTGATTGCAAGCACCCTTACTCTTTTGGTTGGAATCATACAGGTAATGGATTTACAAGTAAAATATAGATTGGCATGACTTTTATTTGAAGTAACTAACTGTTGATGACCTAAAAATAAAAGGCCCTTCAAAGTGAGAAGCAACAATCATTTACTGAGATCAATAAGAATAGCTATTCCAAAAGCATTGATTCAGGCAAAAGCCCAGTTAATGTTCCAATTAGGAGATGAAGGCAATGGGTATTTATGAAAAAGGGGAGGGGAACAATTATATCACTAGAAGGAAGGCATTCCTATTGGTGCAGATAACATAACATAGTGGTGTTCATTCTAAACAATTCTTTTAATTTTCAGTCCAGTAGTCAGAATAACTCATTTCTTGTTATTTTGCAAAAGATCACAGGAATAGGTGCACATTTTTTGCTCTTCTTAGTACATATCTAGAAATACTTCAAGGTTAATATTACTCACTTTTTTCACATTTTAGAGTGATGCGGGGGCGGGGAGAGGTGGGGCATTAGGAAATTCAGATTTGTTTCCTACAAGTATTTTTGTTATAGGCAGGTTACCAGAGTTTAAACTGGTGTTAAGTTTAATTTGTTAATAGTTCAAGCGAGTAGATTCTTCTCCCAGGCAAACATTTAATTAGTTCTTCCTTTACTTGTTCTAGTTGGTGTTTGGGGGTTTGCAGATTGGATTCATAGTGAGGTACTTGGCTGATCCTTTGATTGGCGGATTCACAACAGCTGCTGCCTTCCAAGTGTTGGTCTCGCAGCTAAAGATCATTCTCAACGTTTCAACCAAGAACTATAATGGAGTTCTCTCCATTATCTATGTAAGTGTTTCTTCTTACTCTAGGGATGGCTCACTGAGAATGTGTTCTTTTCCTCTTTAACCTGAGTCTGTAGAGCCTATGTCCCTCCATGCCATACTCTGGGAGTCACTGAAAGCATCCTTCTCTGAAAAAAGCAATAAAGTCACGAGTAACATCGAAAAAGGCAGATTTTGCAAATCATTATTCTCAGTTGGTCAAAATGGTTTCAGAAGTGTCACTGCACTTAAAAATACTGATGAAAACAAAGTGGTATAGTGAAGCTAGGACTGCTCAGGGGGGCAACAGACTAGAGTTCCAGTCTCGTCTTTGCCTCCGACAAGCTAAGTGACCTCTGGTACATAATGTAGGATAATGGCTGATAATATCTACCAACTAAGTTAAATAAAGATAAATGAGGAGCATTTTGGCCCAGAGGCCGGCACAGAACAAGTACTCGATAAAAGTCGTTACTTTGAAATTATTATTTCACATCTCAAGGCTCTTTTATTTTTTATTTGTAAAATGAAACAATTGGATATGCATCTCTAAAGCCCTTTTTAACTCTGAGAGTCCATAAAATGTATAATGTAAATGTCTGAGCAATTATAGATAAAAGGAACATTAGATTCAGAGATGATTCAACATGCAAAAGAGATGCAAAAGAAGGATGTAGAGCACACTAATTAGATTGAAAAGTTCTTGTATCTAAATATATGTTCTATGTAAGACATGTTTTTGATGCTTGAAAGTGATGATAATAGTAACAGGATGTCACCCTGGCTTGGGGGGAAATGATATGCAAAAATAACATGTCAACATTAAGAATGGAGTCTTTTAATGATCCATGTATTAGCTTCTAAAACAATGTAAGGCCATGTGTATATATCTAAAAACTAGTGAGGTGGTCAGGAATTTCACAACAGTGCCAGCATCCCACATTACTCCATCCATTCAACAAATATTACCCAGTGCCTATTATGGTCAGTTACTATGCTGAGCAGTGATAGAGGAGGAAATATAACAGTAGTTAAGATCATGGATGTTGAACTTCAATAAGCCTGGGTTGTAGTCTTGGTTCTACCACCTATTACTCATGTAAGTTTGGGCATTTTATATTTCTCTAAGCCTCAGTGTCCTCTATTGTAAAATGGGAATAATAGTACCTATTAGACTTGTGAGGACTAAAAAAGGAAAATTGTGTATAACACTTAGCAAAATATCTGGCACATAGTAAAAACTCATAGTAATATTATTTTCATTATCATGATGAACAGACCTCATGGAGCTTACTGTCCACTCCCCAGGCTTTCAGTCTATTAGAACGCTTTAGCACAGGCTGTTTTTTGATTCAGGATTATTTTTGTCATTGTTGCTTTTTTTCCTACCAAGTCCTTGGTTTGATTTGAAACCTCTGACAGGCTCACTTTTGCAGTCCCTGAGACAGCCTGCTTTTTCTTGCTATCACATTTTCCCCATCAACCATTCACTTATTCCTTCTTTGTCATTAATTCAATCAATAAGTATTTATTGACTACCTACCATATGCCAGGCATCGTTCATTCCCTATGCAAACCCACTGAATCCACCCAGATACTCCTTGTTGAGTGTACTCACTGCCTTGTATGAACATTGCTAGGTCTGTATCCACACAGATCACAGGAGGCCTAGGCCAATGGTTAACCCTGGCCATGCTGGACCTCTGTAGACAGGGAACTGGTCTCCTAGGACTATGTTTAAGATGAAGCTTGATGCCAAGGATCCCGCTATCAACAGGGACAAAAGTAATCAGGAAGCACTAGAACAAGGTCAAAAAAGTTTTCAGTCCAACCACAATCATTAGTTGACATGTTCTTTTGAACACTATTTTTGAAGTCTCAGGTTACAACCTGTCATAGAATTTTGCAAGAATCCCTCCCAGGTCAGCCAAGTTGGATGAAGATATTTCAACCATCCCTATGTGATGGTGACTATTAGCCTCCTCTTTTGATAAGAAAGAATGAGTATGTCGGGAAATGATTGCATAAGGGTTAAATGAGCCACTCAGTACATGAACAGAGAATTTTGCTTATGACATTACCAATTGCAATCATTTATGAAAGAATCCTTCCACAAATGCAGAGTGATAGTGGAATCCTCCAAGAAAGACTAAGATTGTTGAAGATGCTTTCCTTAGAATGTAGTTAACAGTCCTTTTGTTATAAGGTTGTATTTTGGATTGACCCCCCCTCACACACAAACAAAAAAAAACACCAAAAAAACCCCCACAAAAACACAAACCCACACACCAAGAAATAATGAATACAAAAAATGGAGGATGAAATATTGGGAAAGAAAAAAATATATATAAACATTAATTTACAAATGCCAGAGATGCTGAAAAGGGTATAGGATGCAGAAAAATTATTCAGAATTAGTAATACTCTTCATGCTACCATGTAGCTACTCAATTATCTAAGTAAATCAGAGTCTATTTAAGAGAGACTATGTTTTCCTACCATTCACTCTGAATGGTTTGTCTTAATTGACAAAGGAAGACTTTCTTTACACTTATTAAATGGCTGCTACCTGCCCCATTTTTCTCCTAACAAGGAGGAAGACCACATTGATAAACTTTGCCTAGATGGCGGGAGTTTTGAAAGCCACCCCTAAGCTTGATCAGATTCATTACTTTGAATCTATTTAAGTATGTAAAATTTAAGACATTATGATAAAAAGAAAGTAACACTTTAAGGGTTGATATATATATATCAAGTTCTGATAGCAAGAAATGCCTGATGGCAAGGGGTAATTATGAAAGGTCTGTGATATTTCTGGAAAATAAATTTGGCTCCAAAAGTTAACTGAAACAATTTCCTCATATGTAATATTAGTTATAATTTTTTTATTACTTCATACACACAGGTAATGCTAGGTAAGAATGAAGAACTTATCTAAATGAAATGGTCCTAAAATTCTCCAAGTATGGTAGAAAATGTGGTAAAATATTATCCATTACTGAAAAGCTCATTTTCATGATTTGAATTATTTAGAATACTAGGTGGGATATGGAATTATATGTGTACCCATATTTAAACATATTTTAGATAGTATTTTAATAGCCAACTAAATTAGATTTAATTTTCAATGCTTTCTTTCTTTTTCTTTTTTTTAATCCTCACTGGGGAATCTTTTTTCTATTGATTTTTAGAGAGTGGAAGGGAGGGAGAAAGAGGGAGAGAGTGAGAAAGAGAAACTTTGGTGTGAAAGAGACACATCAATTGGTTACCTCCTGCACACACCCCCGTCAGTTCCAAGGTACATGCCCTTGACTGGGAATTGAAACCATGACCCTTCCTTTCATGGGCCAACACTCTAACTGCTAAGCACACCAGCCAGGGTGCCGCTGGCAGGGAATCGAACCTGGGACCCTTTGGTGCCTAGGGTGATGTTCTAACCACGGGTGCTTTCTTAGAGTATCACTTCTATATCTTTGGGCACAATCTGACTACCTTGGTTTATATGGGTGAATTTTATTTCCACGTAGGTTAAACTTTCTATTGTAGAACTTTTCATAAGAGATTCTGTATAGGTGACGCATATATTCACATGCCTTATTTGATGCAATTGTGTAATAGAAACTGATTTGGGTTTTTGGAACTTGTATTGCATTGTTAATACACCAGAGGTGCTTTTTATTCAAAGGCCTAAGTGACTCTCCTAGATTAAATGAGTCTTGTGATCATTTTTGTAAGATGAAAATGTTTGTATGATTGGAATAATTACCCTGATTGTTTTTGAGTTTGAATTTTTCCATCTTGAGTCAAAAGTAGACCTTTATTATATAGACAATTAATCAGCATATTCTATCGAGCTCATGAATTCATGCAGGTCATTCATCATCAGAAAATTCTTATGTAAAGAGCCAGAAGGCAATACCTTCAGGACTTAGGGCTGTTTACTCCTATGGTAGATGCTCTAAGTTCTTGAGTTATTGTGTCTGCTTGTTGGAAGTTTCTCCATTTCTTCTTTTTCAATCTGCTATCATTTGCCTCACTTTGTTATTATCAGTGTTTCTCTATCTTTTACTGATTCTGGAAAACAAAGTAAACTTGTTAGTATTGAGTTTAAAGCAAGAGTAAAATACTCTGAGTGAAAGTCCAACAGGCTTGCTCCAAGTCAAATGCTTGCACTCTAGTTCAAGCACTTCGTGGAAGGTATTTTGCTAGTACTACAGCTTCTCCCCGCGTTGCTTTACTCTCTCCTTTTTTTAAAAAATCATTTTTTATTTTCAATTACAGTTGACATACATCATTATATTAGTTTCAGGTGTACAACCCAGTGACCAGACATTACATAACTTAAGTGACCACGCCAGAAATCCTGCACTCATCCTGCACCTCCCCTAGTCTTTAGAATATTATTGACTATAGTCTCTATGCTATACTTTACATCCCCATGACTATTCTGTGACAACCAATTCCTTTCCTGTTTTTTTGGTTGTTGTTAATCCTCACTGGAGGACATTTTCCATTGATTTTTATTTTTTATTTTTTAGAGAAAGTGAAAGAGAGGAAGGAAGGGGGAGAAAGAGAGAGAGAAAAACACATCTCTTTCACATCGATTGGTTGCCACCCACATGCACTCTGACTGGGATGGGATTGAACCCAGAACCCAGGTATGTGCCCTTGACAAGGAATCAAACCTGGGACCCGTTGGTGTCTGAGGCAGTGTTCTAACCACTGAACACACCAGCCAGTGCTCCTTTACTCTTGAATGTATTCCAGAGAGTTGAAGTTGCTGGAAAAATGACTCCTAGATTACTTAATGTTCATAATAGGTAATTGCTGTCAGATTGTCATTATAATTCGTTTAAGTATAGTTCACCTATAAAAATAAAGGTACATGTTATAAACTATGAGATGTTCCATCTCTTTATCTTCACTGGAAGATTATTTGTCTCAAAGAATTGATGAATGCCTTGTTAAGTCAAGCCTTCTTCAGGACTGAAGTTGCTGTAACAAAGATATTAGTGTTCTTTCCTGGGATTCTCCCTTGCTAACATCCCTATACTCCCAGAAACCTTCTATTTACAAAGCAAAACTAGTTTTTCTTGAGCTAGCTTATCTCTCCACTTGGAAAGAGTTAGTTTTATTTAAGTCACTTAAAGTTTGAACTAAATACCAAATTAATTTCCAAAAATTTGTACTTAACCTATATATCAGTTCGATGATTTTCTTGGCCATAATGAATAGGCCAGTCCATATGTAATTACATATAAAGTATTTTAGGCATTTTATTATCACCTGTATCATTCAGGTTTAGGAAAGAGCTTTACCTAAAATACTAGCTAATTGGGACTGTTTGATTTATCAGTCATTAGTTTCAACAGTACCATATCAACATGGCAAAAATTAAGCCAGTTAATAGCAACTGTAAAACCACTTTAAGAGTTTTCCTTTAAGTAAAAGACATTTTTTTCTTTTAAGAGATCTCATTTTATTGTAAAAAACACAGATAGCAAAAAATAAGAAAGTAGAAATCACCCATAGCTTTATTACTCCAAGTAAACCATCATTAATAACTTGAGATATATTTAATGGTCTTTGTATTAGTCAACATATTTTTATGATTTACATAATTTTAAGTGCTATTTGATATAATTTTTTCATGAGAACTCTATAAAATCATTTTTTTTACAGACTCTGGTTGACACTTTTCAAAATATTGGTAGCACCAATCTTGCTGATTTCATTGCTGGATTACTCACCATTATCATCTGTATGGCAGTTAAGGAATTAAATGATCGATTTAGACACAAAATCCCAATCCCTATTCCTATTGAAGTAATTGTGGTAAGTAGAATATGTAATTAGAAAATTCAGCATTAGTTGGTTTGACAAGAAAGGAATTGCTAAAACAAATGGATTTTTTTTAAAACCTCTTGTTTTATTTCAGACAATAATTGCTACTGCCATTTCATATGGAGCCAACCTGGAAAAAAATTACAATGCTGGCATTGTTAAATCCATCCCAAGGGGGTGAGTATGGCATTCCTCTTAGGCAATACTAATTTATTAAGGCAGTACTTTCTATTTAAATGAAACCTTTTATTACAGGCTTCATTTCATTGGTGCTCCTTCAATAGTCCTATTTGTGTATGATCTTAAAGAAATACCCATTTGTGCAAACTATCAGATAAACAATAGATAAAGTTCAGTCCATTTGTTTAAAAGCAGCCTGAATTATGGTCTCTCTTTGTCCTTCATATTCTTAAAAAGTGGTAAGACATGTACAGTTACCACCAGACTCCTGATTTAAACTCATATGTATAATATAAATAGAATCATGAGTAGTAACGTTCTATTTTTTTTGCACTGAGGACAGTCTGCTTAAGGAATCAGGGACATCTGATCTAAATTCTCTACCGTTTCATTTAATCAATTTTAGGTAATAATTATGTCATTTGGTCCTCTCAATAAAATGCATAATCTGCAAAGGAAGTTTTATCTATGTTTGGTGAATTAGAAAAGGAAAAAACTAAGGTCTTTTGTCCATCTCTGACACCAACTAGTTCGTGGCCCTGGGGGCAGGAGAGGTGGGGGAGTGCTCTTCTATAAAACAAGGGTAATGACAACTACTGAAACTTCAGCTCGAGCTTGTTGTGAAATGCTAATGAGATCTCTCATAAAATTCGAAGAGTGGACCAAGTGCCCTGCACTATAATTTTATCATATGGCATTTTAACAAAGAAGCCCAAATGTTTATTAGATTTGTAACATTAACTTATAGCATTTGTGACTAGACTTCCTCTTCTATAACCACTAAGTCCCCTTAGTGCTAGCTGAGGGCCCTTGTCCCCGTCTGTGTGTCTCCATGCTCTTAATAGAAAGTTCTCGGGCTAGCGGAGTCCCAGTGCTTGTTCCACAGGACTGCCGCCTTTTCATTTGATCATCTCATGTTCCTTCTAATATCTGTTTAAAAAATATTTGAAAAATTACAACTGGCTACAATGGGCTTAATTAACATATTTTCCATTCTAATGTTTCTCAGACTTACCTTTTTGTGAGAATCACATGAGATCCTTGTTAACAACGATTCCCGGTTCCCACCCCAAACGTATTAAATCAGGCTTTCCAGAGAAGGGGCCTCGGAATTGATGTTTTTCAAAGGCACGTCCAGGATTCTTATGACCAGCTATATTTGGGAAGCTCTACCTTAGCGTATCAACATGTTGATAGTAAATCCTAGCGCTGAACAGAATGAAATAGAAGATACAGTGTGGCTACTTGAGTTAGAGCATTTTTACCAGAACAATTAGATTGTTTAAGTAGTTAAAAACAACTACATAAAAATATATTATAGATCCCTTTTGTCGGACTTCCCAAGATGAAACACTTAGGGGTGTCCACAGAAAATGCCTCAACCCATAAATCCCCGTTTCATGAATTAATATGGGGAACTCATTTCTGTTGCCCTATCAGTGGTCGGCAAACTCATTAGTCAACAGAGCCAAATATCAACAGTACAACGATTGAAATTTCTTTTGAGAGCCAAATTTTTTAAACTTAAACTATATAGGTAGGTACATTGTTATTAACTTAATTAAGGTACTCCTAAGGCTTAGGAAGAGCCACACTCAAGGGGCCAAAGAGCCGCATGTAGCTCACGAGCCGCAGTTTGCCAACCACGGCCCTAAGTCATCCTTTCCTACCCTATCCAGAGCTTTCCTGGCTGCTCTCCCCCTGAAAATGGATCTCTAGTCTCTTGCTCTTGGGTTTAGTCACGGGAGTCCTCTAACAGACCACCTGGAGTGAGTGGTTAGGTAACCCAGCCTGCCTGGCCCCACGGACTGCAGGCTCCTCCTCAAGGCAGTGAGCCCATTTGTCTTACTCTGTCTTCCTAGCACAGTACCTACCTCCTAGTAGGATCCCAGAAAATATTTGTTAAAGGAATAAAATACCCAAGCCTATACCGTTATAAACAAGCCACCAGAAAGGACATTGTTGCCTAATCTAACAGGATTGCACAGAAACAAGTCTAAAGACATTAACAAAACTGAAAAAGAGAGGGTGGAGTGAAGAGATTGGAAAAGAGCAAAAGAAGTAGAGCGTTAAAGATGAGTACGATGACAGCAAAAAGAAAGGTCAGGCTAACCCACCTTGTTATTCAGGCTCCCTTCAATCCTCCAATAAGGGAGTAAAAGCGAGGCCTCTGTCGGCAGTTTTCTTTTATCCTGTTGAGGATCAACCATATGTTAGGACCACTTGGTCCCCAATAAATCCACATAAGAACCTTATGTCTATGAGAATCTTATTTTCACTTTACCACATCCCTCTAATTATAGAGGGAAAATGTAATTTCCTATTAAAGGAACCTCAGGCATAGTGAGATAGGTAGGGGAGGTTTTTCTTTCTAGGATCTCTGGAATTATACCATGTGAATAGTCATCAAGAGATAGGTCCATGAAGGTCATCACCCAAATTTTCATATTTGGAAATAACCACATGATTATAAACTTGTGGGTTTTTCTCGTTATATGATTTGTAGAAAAGCTCTGGTTTTGTAAAACAGTAGTCATTTGACCCCACCACGATCACTGGGATATGTTAGTCATTGTGACTACGAAGCATTCTGATAATTACATAAATGTACTCTTTTTTGAACTCAAGAAGATTTTAGATATCATGGCTCTTAAGATATGGATTTTCCACTTTATTCTTATATTCTTTATTTCTTTAATAAACATCCCTCCCCACAGGGTAAATCTCATTTCATGGCTAGTATATATTGTTGAAATGCAAAGATCTCTAAGGTGAAATTGTGTAAGGAGAAACACTAATGTGTGAAAGCATGGCATAGGATTGTATGATATTAAAGAACCAACAATGACAGGTTTTTTCATATCAGAGGTACAGATAAGGTGGCATTTGTAGACTCTCAATTGGGGACAAAGAAATCAGCCAATGAGATGACACCAACTTCTGACTAAAAATTATAAAAGCGGATGCTACCACTTATACTCATGTGCTTTTGCCCTCTTGGATAAGGTACTTTCTTGTCTAGTTTGTGGCTGGGTTGATCAGCATTTGTCAAGGTGGGAAGAGAGAATTACGGTCAAATATTCACCGCACTTTCTCACTAGGTTCTTGCCTCCTGCACTGCCACCTGTGAACTTGTTTTCTGAGATGCTGGCTGCATCGTTTTCCATCGCTGTGGTGGCTTACGCTATTGCAGTGTCTGTAGGAAAAGTGTACGCCATCAAGTATGATTACGCCATCGATGGGAACCAGGTATGGTTACCCTTTTGCTGAACTGGTTATATGTATAATTGATTTCAGAGAGGAAGGGAGAGGGAGAGAGAGATAGAAATGTCATTGATGAGAGAGAATCATTGATCAGCTGCCTCCTGCATGCCCCCTACTGGAGATGGAGCCTGCAACCCCAGGCATGTGACCTGAACGAGAACTTTGACCTACTGGTTCATAGGTTGATGCTCAACCACTGAACCACACTGGCCAGGCCTGAATTGATTTTCTAGGGCTGAACATAAGAAAAATAAATAAATGGGAAAGATTTTGTTGTCTGCTAAAGAAGAGATTGGTTTCTTCTACCAGTCTTATATTGAGTTGGATTCCCTCTTGTGTGTGCTAATTTGAAATGACTTTAAAAATATGCACACTACATCACTTTAGTTTTAAGAAATCAGTTGAAGTAATCAGAATTCTAAAAGAGTTCATTCTGTCAAGTCCTAAATATCATTCAAAGTTAACATATTAGGTCAGAATAAGAATTTGTCATGTAGTCCCACATCTCCTGGTAATATTTTTTTATTGGTGGCAAAACAGTGCAACAAACACTTTTAATAATAGCTGTGGCCACTTTAAATTGAGATGGTTCACTGTTAATTAATGTACACAGGACAATTTTTGTAGGCATCTGATACATTGCCAGGTGAGCTCACAAATCCTCAGTTATGGTATGTTCCTGAAAACACAGCATAGCAATTACAGCAGTTAAAAGATTAGTAATCAAGCAGAATAATAGCTCTCCTAGCCATAATATGCTTCATAGCAAATATTCATCCACAGAAATAACACTTTATGTGAGAGCAGAAAAATGTTTTCTGTGAGAGTTATCGCCGATATGCCACTCACCAGGCAGTGAAATAAGCATTTTAGCAAAACATCAGTTACTGCTTCTCATCAGCCTTAAAAATGATGAGAGCAGTGAGGCCTCTTTTAGGCTCTAAGGACCCCAAACTCCTGATGTTGTTCCGGTCCCTAAGCACCTTCCATGGCAAAAATTAAATTGGGACTGTCAGGCAGGATGGGTTTGCAAATTTGCTTTCTTAATCTTCTTCCTTAAATGGCTTTGGGGCTTGAAAAGATTATATCTGCGGCATCACTGTCATCTGTTCTTTCCCTTAGGAATTCATTGCCTTTGGGATTAGCAACATCTTCTCCGGGTTCTTCTCGTGTTTCGTGGCTACCACCGCCCTGTCCCGCACAGCTGTCCAGGAGAGCACGGGAGGAAAGACACAGGTAGGGAAGAACAGCGTGGAAATATCCATCCACCGCAAAGAATGCGTTGGAACCGTGGCTCAGAACAGCTTGCACAAGAACTGAGCAGGACAATTAGCCTTTGAGAGGAGAGAGGCAGTGCTTCCTGTTCTGATTACGCCGGGCTGCCTTGTTTCACCCCCTCACCAAAAACCTTTTAAACAACAACATTTGTGGTTTTCTGAGGCAGCCATTCCCCAATCTCTTCGTGTCAGTGCTCAACTGGCAGACAGTTACACTTACCCGCTTTTCAATAACAATTGACAAAGGACCAGTAAGGAGGAATGCTGATTCTTATCGATGTGCTATCTGGAGAAAGAGAAGGTCTAGTAAAAGCACATTCGTGGCTTAGGGAGTTATTATATTTTCAGAAAAATTAGAAGTGTTTGTTTACCTTTCCTCCACAAGGATCAGGAACTTCCTCCAGAGGCCTTTGGTCCCACGGAATGACAGGTTGACAGCCAAGAATATTTTTGCTGAAACTTTCTGACATTTCTTCCTGAGTAAGATGTTCTTCCCTGAAGTTCTGAATGTGGATTTAATCTTGCCTTTTATAAAGTTGTTGCCTTCACAAGGTGACCCCAAAACCTGCATCCCAGTTCATCCCTGGCCAGCCCCTCCTTTAATTGTCCAGAAAACTGAGGAGCCATTCTCAAAGGCCATCCCTTCCCGCCAAACATGGAGTCAGAGATGCCAAATCCAGTGGTTGGAGGCCAGGGGCAGGCTCAGGAATTGTGCTTCTGTTATGCCTGGAGGGTTTTCTCCTCCCAGCACAGAAAGAGCTCTTATTTAAGAGCAAAGAGTACATTGAGACTGTAACGGAGAACAACAAATCCAAAGTGAATGGTACACACACATACACATGCACACACACACATGCACATGCACACGCACATACACATGCACACGCACACACCCACAGAGTCTCCACAGAGGGTTTTATGAAGGCGGAGACACCGCAAATAAGCATAAGAGAGAATAACTGATAAAATAAATGACTCCACCAGTGGCTTGCCCAGGGAGAGCGTCAATTGTCCCCAAGGTGCCCGTGATGCCCCTTACCCATTTATAATGGGTCGTTGTGACAGGGTTGGAAGAATGGGCCTCTTCCAATTTCTTGGCTCTTGTTGAGCAATTTTAATTTTTATAATTTTCTTGGTAAAATTGAGTTGACTTTTTTTTTTTGCAAACATTTCTAGCTCTGAGGAAGCAAGTAAAACAAGACAGCTTCTACCTGGGGTGTAGCCAGGGGGCCGAAGGGGAAGGGGTCAGAGGTGATTTCCAAAGCCACACCCATGTTCAGTGGGGAGCTGTCAGCAGCAAGAGCCTCTGCTGCTTTCATTCGAGATGGGGCGTTGACAAGCTCTCCAGTCACATGGCTGTAAGCAGGTATAGGCAGATGCCCAACTGCTGATGTCCACTGTCCTGCTGTTACCTCCTGGTTCAGATGAGATACAGGCCGGCTGCCCAGGAAGAATGCCCATGTAAAATGACTCCTTGGCAAAGGGTTTGGGGATAATGGTGTTTTGGTAAGCTAATACCCCCCTGCCACACATGGGTGTGTATTACATTTAGAAGAAAAGGATGCCAGCATTTCAGTATTGAAGAATGAAACAAGCATAGAAATGTCTTGATATTTAATTACTGAAATGTAAGCTAAGTTCTGGGGTTAAAAGTCTAAGTGCCTGGACTGAAATCCAGGGACTCATGACCAAATACGCCAGCAAGTCTTCCTTTGTGTGGCTTCTCATGTTTTCTTTTACATTCGAGCCTCAGTTGCAGCATCTATACAATGGGCACAATTATTATATCTACCACGTAGGGATGCTGTGAGGATGGGGAAATGTTTGAAGAGTCCTGGCACATATATACTTGTAAATGCTCATGGTTCCAGTCATTAACTCCTCAAGATAAGAACAGTGTCTTAGTACTTATGATACATATTATTATCCTGTCACAGAAGAAGCACCCAGCATATATTTGCTGAATGAATGAACAGAAGAATGAGTGTTAGGGGACATTAACTGTTTCCGTACATCTACAGATTGCAGAAGAGCTCAACATTGCAACCTGTTCTTTCTGTCACCCGCCTCCCCCCCCCCGCCCCCCCGTGATTCCTACTGATTCACACAAAAAAGGAATCTAATTACAAACTGTTCTCTAGCTCTGACTACCTTCTCACTTAACAGAATAATTCATTTTCTAATAATTGAATCTGCTCATAGATACAAAATCTACAGCATTTCCCACAAAACAACCTCAGTTAAATCAAGTACAAGTAATGGGCCCCCTCACAGATTTTAATGTAGTAATCAAATTAGTCTTGATCCCCATAATTAGGGCCTTATTATTACATATAGTTGGTGAGTAGGTGGCCACCCACCTGGCATTAGTTGGGCAGCTGGCTGTAGTCCCTGTCCCCCAACCTCCATATCTCTCACCAATTCACAGAGCCCTACATCCACAATGAGATGCAAGTTGCTCATGATAAGACAATAAATATTGGTTAAGTAATTGCATGGAAAAAGGGAAGAAAGAATGGGAGGAATGGAGGATATTAGCTTCTCTGCTTAGATTGGAGATAGGAAAGCTCCCCAAGGTACTGGGAATCTGGAGGTGTGATTAGTACATCATATACATAATATTGCCTCAGGCTGACCTAGCTATATTCTGAATATGAATGATCAATTTGCTAGGTATATGAATAAATATGACTGCGAAATTTCCTTAAGTTTTGTATCTGTCTCCTTTAACTCAAACATCTTCCACTAGGCAGTACTTGTGCCCAACACAACCTTTCCTGTTGCTTCCTCTCCGGTTGCTTTGCTTTCTGGTTTCCTGTCTCCTTTTCTCCTTTGTTTCAGAGCTTCTAGTCTTCACCTTGGCCATGCCCCAGCTGAACAGAGAATTCAGTGGTCATCTGATCAAACCAGAGAATAGGTCCCACCCCCTCATCCTCTCTCCTAACTATTTATGGATCTTAGGAGAGCTATTTTTGCCAGCAAAGGTAAAGTTTCTGAAGCTTTCTTTACCCCTGCTATTGCCCGTCATCATTCTGGCTACTGGGATGCAAAGTTCTGAGCCTACCTCTGCAGAACTGTTAGAGAAAGCAGGAGACATGGTCTCACCTCTCAGTAGGCTCCTGTGGCATTAAAAAATAAATAAATTAAAACATATATATAATTTATTTCAAAGAGGAAGGGAGAGAGAGAGAAACATCAATGATGAGAGAAAATCATATGCTTTTTTTAAAAAATATATTTTATTGATTTTTTACAGAGAAGAAGGGAGAGAGATAGAGAGTTAGAAACATCGATGAGAGAGACATCGATCAGCTGCCTCCTGCACACTCCCCACTGGGGATGTGCCCGCAACCCAGGTACATGCCCTTGACCGGAATCGAACCTGGGACCCTTCAGTCCGCAGGCCGACGCTCTATCCACTGAGCCAAACCGGTTTCGGCAAATCATATGCTTTGACTGGCAATCGAACCATGACTTCCTGGTTCATAGGTTGATGCTCAACCACTGAGCCACACCGGCTGGGCTCGTGTTGCATTTTGAGTGTGCAATAAGACAGGCAAATTTATCTTGTCTGAAACTTTGGTGGCAAAGATGTGCTACAGGTACGATGTTAACAGACTTTTTCTTATGGCTGCTGATTCAATAATGCAGAAGAATCAGTAAATTCCCTGAGAATTTACTTCCCCAAAACATCACCATAATCTATTGTTGGGAAGGAGAATGGTCCCTGTTTCCTGAGAGGGCAAATAATTAGAAGTTTGGCCTCCTGAACGGACCCTAAAACTAGAGGTCTAATATATCCAGATGAAATCCAGGTCAAACTGGCTTTATTTAGCAGACTCAGTCTCCACAGTTTCTTTCATTTCCTTGCCATAGCTGCTATATATATATATATGATTTCCTTTTTTCTTCAGTCTTGTAGAGTTTTAGCAAGTAATTCTTATTTCTCTCAATAGTATGAGCAGAAGGGGGAGGTCAGGAGCATCAAGTGCACGTGGGAATGGGCTCTATGATGCACACAGCCAGCAGGCTGGGAGACATGAGGGAGAAGGGAGAACGCTGCTGATGGGAGATGTGTGTCTTTCAGATTGCTGGCATCATCTCGGCTGGGGTTGTGATGATCGCCATCCTTGCCTTGGGGAAGCTGCTGGAACCCTTGCAGAAGGTATAACCCTGCTTCTCAGTGCACTGATTGCATAATTTCTCTGCTCTGCCACCAGATAAATCACAGGAGATTTATAAATCATCACATGGAAAACTGTTCCCCTGAGTAACACAGCCTTCTCTGTCTCTCTTGGCAGTCGGTCTTGGCAGCTGTTGTAATTGCCAACCTGAAAGGGATGTTTATGCAAGTGTGTGATGTTCCTCGTCTATGGAGGCAGAACAAGATTGATGCTGTAAGTCACCCACTTTTCTCTGAAATAAGATTTGGTTCTTTAAAAAAAAAAAAAAAGATTTGGTTCTTATTTGCTTCCTGCCATATCATTATGTCCCCTTATCTCCTAAGTCTTACTTGCATTTTGGGAGCCTGAGGGCAGTAGTTAAAATTGGGTAGATAACCAAAGCTTTGAAGTCTTCCACCTGAACTGTGTTTTTTAAGGTCCTGTATCTCTGGGAAGATCCATTTCCAGCAAGAATCCCATTCATATACAGTTTGCCTTCTAAAACCCAAAACCAACCAACCAAACAAACAACAAATCCTCTAATTTAGAAGGACAAACAAAACAAAGCATGAAGCAAAGCAAAAACAAAGAAAAAATACAAAAACCCATGTTGATAATAATTCTGACCAAAGTAACCTTCACAACTGTTCTGAGGGATGAGAAAAAAATCAGAAATAAAATTCTTTAGAGTTATGCTCTAATTTAAACTAGAACAGATGAAAGGAATGAGAAAACTCCCTATATATCAATATGGAAAGATCTCCAAAGCAAATTGTTAAGTGAAAAAAATGACCAGTGCAGAATAGAAAAGTATATATAACACATTAAAAGATGGGAAAAACAAAACATGCTTTATAGTCATATTTACTTGTACTTTCAAAAAGACATGCTGGTGAAAAGTGTGCATGTGTGTTGTACACACCCAGACACTCAGAGAGAGAAATAAAAGAGAATACAAACAGGGAGGGAGGATGGACATGGGTGGAGAGGGGAGATGTGTGCAAATACACACTCTTTATATTAATGTCATTTTGAACATGTTAATATATTACCTATCCTAAAATGAAATTTAAAAATTTAAATAAGAGAGTTGGTCTATATGTCAGTTTCCATTTCTACTTCCATTTAAATATGAAATGAAATCAGAATATCAAAAAAAGCTGTACAGTTGACCCTTGAACAATGTGGGGGTTGGGGCACTGACCCCCTACACAGTCAAAATTCCACATGTAACTTCAATATATATATATATATATATATATATATATATATATATATATGCATATTTTATTGATTTCAGAGAGGAAGGGAGAGGGAGAGAGAGATAGAAACATCAATAATGAGAGAGAATCATTGATTGGCTGTCCCCCACACGCCCTCACTGGGGATCGAGCCCACAACCCAGGCATGTGCCCTGACCAGGAAGTGAACCATGACCTCCTGTTCATAGGTTGATGCTCAACCACTGAGCCATGCCAGCCGGGCTCCACATATAACTTTTGACCCCCTCCCTTCCCGACCCCCTCGCAAAACTTAACTACCAATAGCTTACTGCTGACCAGCATTACCGATAACATAAATAGTTGATTAACACAAAGTTTATATGCTATATGTATTATATATGTCCTCTGACAATAAAGTAAGCTAGAGAAAAGAAAATGTTATGAATAAAAGCATAAGAAAAATACATTTATAGGTCTTACTGAAAAAAACACACACAAAAAAGCAACAACACATGTACAATGGACCCACGCAGTTCAAACCTGTGTTGTTTAAGGGTCAACTATAATTTATTCATGGACAGTTGATCTCATTATTTTTTTTTAAATTTCTTTATTGGTTAAGGTATTACTGATCTCATTATTTTTACATGTAATCCCTCACCTGATGGTACATGATAAATTAATATAGTCCTTTTTATTTCTATTTTTTCTAGGTTATCTGGGTGTTTACATGCATAGTGTCCATCATTCTGGGGCTGGACCTCGGTTTACTAGCTGGCCTTATATTTGGATTACTGACGGTGGTCCTGAGAATTCAGTTGTGAGTAATATACGACCCAGGTTACCTATATAAAGAACAACCCACCCTGAGATTTCTTATACCATTTTGATAAATATAGTAAAACGACTCCCTTTTATAATAGTTACTATATAGTGTGTGCAAGCACATAGGGAGTGCTCTACACATATTATTATATTTAATCTTCAAAAAAGTCCTGTGCCTAGGGGATATTATTTTCATCCTACAGGTAAGAAACTTGAAGCTCAGCAAGGTTAAGAACGTTCCTTAAGATCTCATAGATAGTGAGGGGCAGAACCAGGACTTGAACCCAGGCGGATCTCACCCCATAGTCCATGCACTCAGTCACAAGCGCTAACGCTGGAGCTCTCCTCTTAGTCATGGTAAGGCCAAAAGGTAGTCGATTCAGCAAAAGACTGAGGTTGCTTTGCAGTTTCTTTTTAAAATGAGATGAAGTCTGTGAGGCACTGGGCTCAGGCTCAGGACAGGATAGCTGCTACCTGTACTTTAATTCGTTTCTTTCGAAGCTAGTAACCCAGAGTTATGTAACCCAGGACAGGAGACTTTAAAACAGTTCATTGCAGCCAAAATGTATTCAAATCTGTACCCAATAAGCCACACAATTATATGAAGAAAACATAATCATCTTCAGAGTGAAAGCGGCGGCAGAGACACCGTTTAATGGGAAGTCACATGGGAGGCCACCTCAAGGGGTATGATTATTGTTGGTTTTGTTTTGACTCTTGAGAGGCATTTGGTGTGAGCGCTCCTGGGTCTATGGAATTGTCTGAAGAGAGCGGGGAAACAGCTCCTCTCCCTCCTCCCACGTTATCTTTCTAGACTTCTGGCCCCTTCTCTGCCTGTGCTTGGGTGGCGAAGGAATAAAAATCCTGGAAAACCATCATCACAGACGTTTTCAGTTTAGCCTAAGCCCACTTTCCTGTTCCACCAACCAGTTCTCTCCCACCTTCCTCCGCTGGCATGTTGGAACCTACAAAAGGCTGTTTACTGCCTCGGTGCCCTTACATGGTGCCCAAGGGCCCCCAAGAGTTCAAAGCTCCCAAAGTGCCCTGCCTGCTTCTGCGCAGTAACTCAGGAGCTGTCCTTACTACAGGCTGCCTCTCCTCTGTACGCCTCAGCGTTTACTTCTGGGTGGCTGTGGGTGGGAGAGAGGGTTTTGTGGAGAGAGGCTGTATCATTTATGAGCTTGAAGTTAAAACTCAGCACAGCGCAGTTAGCCGAGGAGAAATGGGTGGCACAGTTTAGCTGCTGAGTAGGTTTGTCTAGGCTTTTAGCCAACAGAATGCAGTATCCTCCACAGTATTTAATTTCCAGTAATTATAAGGCTGGTCCAGAGAGCACATTGCTGAAAGTACCCCAGGCAGACACTCTTTCTTCAGGAATTATCTATTTAGCATATGTTCCCAGTCGCACTTGATTCATGGAATCGATTTGATTGCAGCAGGAACAGGAAATGGGAAGGGCTGGTTTCTGGTCCTCCCGGGTTCCTGTTTGTATAAAAGGAGGCTAATTTGATCACTGCAGACTCTCCATACTTCATCAGAAAATTGCGATGACTGACAAATAAGTTCCAGGCCCTGGCACTGTTCCAGGCTCTGAAGACCAATGGGTTAAAGATTGGGGCTGGGCTGCTCCTGCCTTCGGGGCCTTTTCGAACTTCTCTGAGTTTACTCACCAATAAAAATGAGGATAAACTGCTGACCTTTCAGCGTTCTGGTGTGGCTTAAATAAGATAAAACAGGTGTGAAAGCTCTTTGCTTAGCCTTTAAAATATTAGTGTGATGCTCATTATTCCTCTCAGCCTCAGAAAAGCGTCAGGGTTCCCCCTCCTCCTCCAATGGCACACAAACACCAGTTGTTCACTTCAGCGTTATCTATGGGAACATGCCATCTGTCCCAAAGCATCAGAATGATGGGCTCTTTTTAAAAAAAAATATATTTTACTGATTTTTCACAGAGAGGAAGGGAGAGGAATAGACAGCTAGAAACATCCATGAGAGAGAAACATCGATCAGTTGCCTCCTGCACACCCCCCACTGGGGATGTGCCCGTAACCAAGGTACATGCCCTTGACTGGAATCGAGCCTGGGACCCTTCACTCCGCAGGCCAACGCTCTATCCAACTGAGCCAAACCAGTTAGGGCTGAATGATGGGCTCTTTAGTAGCTGTTATTTCTCCTAATTTTTTATAACAAAATATGCCTATTCCCGCCCCGCCCCAAACACACCCCCCAAAAAAATCCTGACCTTAATTTTTCTTTCAGTCCCTCCTGGAACGGTCTTGGAAGCATCCCTAACACAGACATCTACAAGAGTACCAAGGACTACAAAAACGTGAGTGCCTTTGTGAGACATTTGCTGGACTTGGTTTGGGAGCCTGGATTTTCAGGGATTGCTATTTCTCTCCTAGTATGCTAGGGACAAGGTAGACACAGGTGGGGGGCTTCTTTTTTTTTTTCTTTTCTTTTTTTAATTTATTTTTTATTTTTTATTGCTTAAAGTATTACAAAGGGTATTACATATGTGTCCTTTTTTTTCCCCGCCCTTGACAATACCCCGGCTTCCCCTACCCCCCAGTGTCTTATGTCCATTGGTTATGCTCATATGCATGCATACAAGTCCTTCGGTTGATCTCTTACCCCCCTCTCTCCTGCCTCCCAACCCTCCCTGGCCTTCCCGCTGCAGTTTGACAATCTGTGTGAGGCAGCTCTGCCTCTGTATCTATTATTGTTCAAAAGTTTATAATGGTCTCTATTATCCATGAATGAGTGAGATCATGTGGTATTTTTCCTTCATTGACTGGCTTATTTCACTTAGCATAATGCTCTCCAGCTCCATCCATGCCGTTGCAAATTGTAAGAGTTCCTTCTTTTTTACAGCAGCATAGTATTCCATCGTGTAGATGTACCACAGTTTTCTAATCCATTCATCTACTGATGGGCACTTAGGCTGTTTCCAGATCTTAGCTATGGTGAATTGTGCTGCTATGAACATATGGGTGCATATATCCTTTCTGATTGGTGTTTCTGGTTTCTTGGGATATATTCCTAGAAGTGGGATCACAGGGTCAAATGGGATTTCCATTTTTAGTTTTTTGTGGGGGGCTTCTGTCAGGAAATTCCAGAAGTCCACTGGGTGTCATGAAAACTTCTTACTCATTGTGCCCTCTGACATCCATGGTTTACATGAATTTCATCCATGGTAGCTGAAGGTCATTTTAATGTCAAATCATTATAAGAAGAATTTCTAAATATAGGTAATTCAGTTGTTTCTAGATGTTGAATCAAATTCTATTTCTCTGGATAAATGGGGTCAAAAGGTACACATTTCTAGATATATAACAAATAAGTCATGGGGCTATAATGTGCAGCATGCTGACCATAGTTAATAATACTGTATTACATATTTGAAAGTTGCTAAGAGAATAGGTCTTAACAATGCTCATCACAAGGAAAATGTTATAATTATGTATGGTGACAGATACTAACTAGACTTATAGTAAGGATCATTAGCAATATATACAAATATCAAATTATGTTGTAAACCTAAAACTAATATAATGTTATATGTGAATTATACCTCAATAAAAAATAAATATGGACAGAGCCTTGGAGACCTCTAGAACAAAATAAAACATATTGACATATGTATAATGATAGTCCCAAAAGAGAAGGAAAGAGAAAAAGGCAGATATAATATTTGAATAAATATCAAAATTTCCCCCAAATTGATGAAAAACATCACATTCAAATCCAAAATGCCCACTGAACGCAATTGCTGTACATACAAAGGTCCAGACCTAGGCACATACACTAATACCGCTGAAAGGCAAGGCATTAACAAAAATGTAAAGCAGTAAGAGGGAGAAAAAGTCTATTTCTCTGCTATGTAATCCGTATCTTCTATAAAATTGTCTAAAATTCTTGAAAAATTTATTTCATTCATTTCTAATAAGAGATTTTCATGTTCTCTGTCACCAAGAACCTATTTGACATTGTGCTCTATCCTTGGAATCGGAAGAAATAATATAAAATACAGGAAATAAAAAACAAAGAAAGTAAACATCTTACTGATGGGCTTATGATTCCTGCATATAAGATTGCTTAGTGACCAGAAGGGAAAACAAAGATGAAAAAGCACAGAAAGAAAATGAAGAAAACACTAATTTAGCAAAAAAATGGTTTTTTTAATTAAAAAATATGAACCCTAGGAAGTTGTAGTCTAATTTAAAAAAATATGTTTTTATTAATTTCAGAGAGAGAGAAAAAGAGGGAGAAACATCCACAGGCCGCCTCCTGCACACACCAGACTGGGGATCACACCCATAACCTGGGCACGTGCCCTGACCGGGAATTGAGCCTGTGACCTTCCAGTGCACGGGAGGATGCCCAACCAACTGAGCCACACCTGGCTGTAGTCTAGTTTTACCTTAACATTTAAAACGAACAAACAAAAAGGTTGGACTCTGAATCTGGAACTCCAGTAGCTGCTACTCAATTTATTTTCACAATCTTCCTCAGTTATATTGAGCCAGGCGCCATTAAGAGCTAACAATGCTTCTAGAGAAACTCTTGGTTTTGGGTTCTGAGTTCTGAATTCTAGGCTCCAGCTTCTAGAGACCTTGCCCGAGTCACTCAGCCTCTGAGGGCTTCTGTTTTCTTCTTTGATGCAGTTGGACTATAATTGTTATGATTCCTAAAGACTAGCCTGTCATTCTGTGGGTTTTACTTTTCATCTGGCCACTCTGTGTCAGGGTAAGAACAAGCAAATAACAGCATAACCCCGGCTGGGTGGTTCAGTTGGTTGGAGTGTCGTCCTGTACACCAAAAGGTTGCGGGTTCAATTCCCAGTCAAGGCACATAGGTAGGTTTCAGGCTTGATCCCTGGTTGGGGTGCTTATGGGAGGCAACAATTGATGTTACTCTTTCACATCGATGTTTCTCTCTTTCTCCCCACCTTCCCTTCTCTCTTAAAAAAAAAAAAATCAGTGAACATATCCTTAGGTGGGGATTATTAAAAAAAAAAAAAAAAAGACATCATAAGCCTCAGCTTGTGCAGATCCCCTTGATTTTGCTACTTTTATTTTTTATTTTAAAAGAATTTGGGGGTAAAAAAAAGGGAGCAGTGGCATGAACTTGAGGCAACTCATGTCATTGTTCTGAGCTTGTTTTTTTCATCCAGAAATCAGAGGGTTGAGTAATTGCTTTCTAAGGCCCTTTCTAGTATGACCTTCTGTGGGACTATGGAGGTTCAGGAGTTTGGGTAACCTGTTGCCTCCCAACGGTGATGAGGCCCCTACTTAAGGATAGTTGAGTGATGCTACCCAGCCCCTTTCAGCAATTATAACTCAGCTTCTAGCTAAATAGCCAGAATTTAATTGAATATTTGAGGCCTGAAATTATTTAATCTCAGATAATTTTTTTTAATGCTAGGTTGAAGAACCAGAAGGAATGAAGATTCTTAGGTTTTCTAGTCCTATTTTTTATGGCAATGTCGATGGTTTTAAAAAATGTATCAAGTCTACAGTAAGTATTTTATCCCTAGAAATTTGGTTGCTAAGTTCCTTTAAGACAGTGGTTCTCAACCTTCCTAATGCCGTGACCCTTTAATACAGTTCCTCATGTTGTGGTGACCCCCAACCATAAAATTATTTTCGTTGCTACTTCATAACTGTAATTTTGCTACTGTTATGAATCGTAATGTAAATATCTGATATGCAGGATGTATTTTCATTGTTACAAATTGAACATAATTAAAGCACAGTGATTAATCACAAAAACAATATGTAATTATATATGTGTTTTCCGATGGTCTTAGGCGACCCCTGTGAAAGGGTCGTTCGACCCCCAAAGGGGTCGAGACCCACAGGTTGAGAACCGCTGCTTTAAGACTTCATTCATTCTACAGGTATTTATTGGGCTCAAACTAGGCAGAAGGCCCTATACCCTGTCCCCTTTGGGTATGACATTAAGAATTATAACATCCTTGCCTTCGAATAACTAAAGCTCTATTGGGGATAGGAAAAACAAACAATGATAACATATATCTTAAAATCCAGGTAGCAGTAACTCTGCTGGACAAAAACACCAGAGTTGTCTCCAGGCAGAATTGGAGTAACTTCCAAATGAGTAATATAGACGGTACATGCTAAGAGTTCGTAGAAGGGCGTGGTCCCTGTTAGTTGGAACTTATCAGGCTTTGTGTGGGCAGGAGGAAGGAGATTATATCAGGTGTTTGGGAACTCTGAGAACTGAGAGGAAAAGGTGGGAACATTGCGAGGAGGGCTGCCCAGTTGGAGTAAAGGGTTAGAAAGTATAGAATATGGAAGCAGGAAATTCTGGTCTTGAATTCCATGCTATGCTTCAAAGTTAGGTTTTATCTCTAGATCAGTGTTTTACTATGTGAGTTCTGGGGTGAACTGCTGGTTCAGAGGAACATACATAGATTTTGCAATAATAAAAGGGCTCTTTAATGTCAAGGAAATTTGTAAAACACAGATTTAAAGCTAAAGAAGTTATTTTTTGCTGTTTTGTTTCATATTGTCTTGGAGTCTTTAATATGCTACCGAGTCTCTCGGTGAGTGGCATAGATGGCCTAGTAGTGGAAACCATGGAAACCTCAAGAATTTCTACTTGGCAGAATGTCTCAAGTCATAATACCACTCGAGAAATAACCTTTCCAGATAACAATTGCCATTAATGAGCATGAGGAACCAGATGTTTTAAGTAACTTGACTTTTATTTTCAAAGGTTGGATTTGATGCCATGAGAGTGTATAACAAGAGGCTGAAAGCACTGAGGAAAATACAGAAACTCATCAAAAAAGGGCAATTAAGAGCAACTAAGGTGAGACAACATCGTTCTTTCCCCCTCTTAAATTCTTATATTTCTCAGTGAAAATGAAAGCAACTAGATTGTCTAAAGTTAAATCTACCCCCTTTGGTACCCAGATGTGTACATACATATGTCAGACAACAGCTGAGTTGTTCTTGTAGGCAAGAGGGCATGGGGGGGAAATAAAATTAAATAAGCAAGAAAAAACATAGGGTATGACTTCTTTTTCCATTGTAAAATTAAACCTTATTTTTACTGAGAGGAACAAAATAATTCCATTCAAGGCCATAAAGTGATAATAGAAGGCAATACGCTCATTAACTTTTAGAGCTCTTCCTTTCTATTGTCCTGCCAGTGTATCTCCTGGCCACTTCCACAGTCTTCCAGAATCAAGTTTCCGGGCTCTTCTGCTTTTCCACTTTTCTTCCTAGAGAACATCAACATGTAGACTGAGGTGAACCTCATTTCTTAAGAGTTCATTCCCTCCATGTTTTGCTTACCAAGGAACAATGTGTAGGATTTTTAATTAATTTGAAATAATTGGTTGAAAAAATATCCCAAATCATTGGCAATGAAGTTGTATTTTCTTTGTTTAGAATGGCATTATAAGTGGTGCTGGTGCATCAAATAATGCTTTTGAGCCTGATGAAGATATTGAAGACCCAGAAGAACTTGATATCCCAACCAAGGAAATAGAGATTCAAGTGGATTGGAATTCTGAGATTCCAGTGAAAGTGAATGTTCCCAAGGTGCCAATCCACAGCCTCGTGCTTGATTGTGGAGCTGTATCTTTCTTGGATGTCGTTGGAGTGAGGTCATTGCGAGTGGTAAGGCGAAGTGTTTTGAATTAGAGATTAGGAGCTTTTGGCAATAGTAAAACCATATGGGTTGCCCATTCTTACAAAAGGACGATTGATTGTATAGGCTCTGTACTTTTTCTAGAGGAATGCTTTTGTAGTAGTGTAATATTTTAAAGCACAGGCTATGGGGCCAGACTACCTGGGGTTGAATCCTGGCTCTACCACTTGCTGCAGTGGGACTATAGGCAAGTTGCTTAATCTGTCTGTATCTCAGTTATGAGGATAATGACAGCACCTATTACACATGGCTTTTATGAAAATTAAATAAGCATATATATGGTTATTTATGGTTTAGAACAGTATCTGGCATATAGCCACCCCTCGGCAAATATTAACATTTATTGTGTTTTCTGAGAATAAATAGGAAAAGGGATTTGAAAAAGAAGGAAGTTTAATGTTAAGTATTATGCTTTTATTTGTTATGTGACCAGCAGTAGAATGGGGAATGTGGGGTACATGGTAGGACTGGAGAAGCGAGGCATTATTAAAAGGTTAGAGCAGGAAGCAGGTCACGCATCTAGGAAGTCAAAGGGCTGAGGAACATGTAGGAAGGAACATTCTGATATCAGACACCACTTACGCAAGGTCGAGTTCATTCTTTCAACAAAGATATGTGAAGTGCCTAATATGTGCCAAGCACTCAGCCAGGCACGAGAGACAAATGATGAAGTAGTCATAGTCCCTATCCTCACAAGACTAAAGCAGTCTAGACGGGAAGGCAAACAATAAGTAACCTTTTAAATAACATCTGCACTAAGTGTTCCAAGGCAGACAAACTGGGTCTCAACTTGATCAGGAGTGTCAAGTTCAAGTAAAGTTTCAGGTAGGTATCCGACAAGTCAGGCAGAAAAGTAAGCAGGTTAAAGACACCAATAATCAGATGTAATAATATGAAACTGACCCTCAACTGAGGTTCATCTTTGCTGGGGCTTCTTGGCTACTTCTGCAAGGCCAGGAAATTATTCAAGGGTTGCAGGTACTAGGCAGGAAGGTAGAAAACTGATTATACTTGACAAAAAAAAAAAAAGTGAGAAAATGCTGACAGCTTCTCTTCCAGTTCTCTTAGCAGACTTGATCATTAGCTCATTTGAGAGCATACTCTTGTTCTTCATTGTGCATTTTACTCTAGGCACTGGCTCAAGTGCATTGTAGAAATTGTGTTGACCAAAGGGATTAAGGAATTACTTTGGGGAAGAGTCTTTATTTAATGCCAGAATATTTTACACACCTAACAAATAATTGCTTTCAAATGCTATAAAGACAATTGTGAAAAATCCAAACTGTATACTTGCATAGAGGTCTTGTTCTTCTCCCCAGAAATTTCATGTTCTATTTTACTATTGCCCATAGGTCTTGCATCTTAATTTTTTAAATTAAGCTTTGCATTTTGAGATCATTGCAGATTCCCGTAAAGTTGTAAGAAATTATACAGAGAGATCCTTTGTACCCCTTACCCAGTTTCTCCCAGTGCTAACATCTTGCAAAACTATTGTCTAAAATCACAATCAGGATACTAAGACTGACACTGTCAAAATACAGAGCCCTTGGTTTTTAGGTCAGTTTTTACATTCAGACTCTGGTGGCCGCATTTCTACACCCGTATATCTTCCACTCAAAGATATAAACTCATGCTCATGTCTCCCGTCTGCAGGGGCTGTATTAGGAAGCTCCTGAACTCCCTTCTTGTCTTCCTTCCACAAATATTTATTAAGCACATCCGCTGTCGAGTGCTGTGCTGTTGAGCACTGGATGTGGCTACCTCTCGAGACAGGTCTTGTCATCCCCAATCATATCATCACTGTAGGTTGAAAACCTCTGTGGTTTCCCAATAATGAGCTTTCCTCAAAGTCTTGTTTAACCATGAAAGTATTGAAGTTTCTCCTGAGCAAGTGATTGAATGCTACTGAATTATGGGCAGGTAAAGTTACTCAAATTCTCCTTTTTAAATTTTTAGGTTGTCAAGGAATTCCAAAGAATTGATGTAAATGTGTACTTTGCATCGCTTCAAGGTAAATGCATATACAGTACATATCTATCTATAAGGCGTTCTCCTATCTTGGAATGTGGATACATCATGACCAAAGGCCTTAAAAAATGATTTTTTATTGTGATAAAAAATGTATAACAACATTTGCTATTTTAGTCACATTCAAGTGGCATTTAATTCAGTGGCATTAAATACATTTACAATGTTGTGCAACCATCGCAACTATCTATTTCCAAAACTTCTCATCGCCATGAACCGAAACTCTACCCATTAAGCACTCACACTGAGGCTTTTTTCAACCGAGGGAGATATTACTTCCAATTTGTGCCTTAAAGCTGTAATGCAAGGAGACCGATGTCCTCATAGCAGTGCCAGATCACCGTGGAAACTTTGTCCTAGGGAGAGCAGAGCTGGAGATGACTTAGGTCCCTTAAAACTAGAGGACCCTCCAGGGTATGAGTCTGTCTGTGAATGTAAGAAAGTATGTGTGTAGGAAGACACTGATGCTTAGGCTGAGTTCTCTAGAAACAGAGACTGAGGTAAGGATTCTTGCACAAGTGATTTACTGAAATAGTACACCCTGGAAAAATTCATGAAGGAATGAGAGGAGCGGGATAGGGCAGGAGAAGAAGTTGGACAAAGATATGGTTGCAAAACTCTACCTTACATGAAAGGACCTGGAGAGTATTATGCTACATGAAATAAGCCAGTCAAAAAAAGACAAGTGTCACATGATCTTGCTCAAATGTGTAATCTAATGAACAAAATAAACTGGTGAACAAATAGATCCAGAGACGTAGAAGCATAGATTAGACTGCAGAATCTCAGAGGGAAGGTGGGGGAGGGTGGGTGGGTGGGAAGAGATCAACCAAAGAATTTATAACCCATGGACACAGACAATAGGGTGTTGAAGGCCTAGGGCAGGGGTGGAGGGATGGAGGTGGGCTAGAAGGGGCTATTGGGGGGGGGGCGGGGGGAGGGACACATATGTAATACTTTCAACAATAAAGATTAAAAAAAAATTTTTAAGTCTTCCTTAGCTTAATTTCACAAGGAGCACACAGCAGGAAAAGCACCCCAGGACTATTCTTCCTCGAGGCCAGGGAGCTGGCCTATTAACCCCCACCTCCATGTCAGTCTGTTAGTGGCTGCAGGCCATGCAAGGATGGAGGTGTAACCTCCCTGGCCTTTTCAGGTGAGAGGGTTCCCATTGGCCCAGGAAAGGTCTCCAGAGAAGGCCACAGCTATGAACCATTAGCAGCCAGAATCACAGCGGCTGGAGGATGGGGACACTGGCAAAGGGGACCTGGTGAGGAACCAAGGCCATCTACTACATACAACCAGTTGTGGTATAGCCATGCCATGTGCTACTGGAAAAGAAACTTGGTGTAGAGCAGGGTCAGATTTTGGAACTGAGAAGAAAGAATTAAAAGGAGGAGCTGCCAAAACTTAGTATTGGTTGATGTTATAAAATATCTTTTCCTAGAGATGAACTAAACATTCTTTCTTTCTTTTGAAGATCACGTAATAGAAAAGCTGGAGAAATGTGGTTTCTTTAATGATAACAGAAAGGATATATTCTTTTTGACTGTCCATGACGCTGTTCTCCACGTACAGAACCGGGTTAAATCTCAAGAAATTCAAGATTCCATTTTAGAAACGGTAAGCATGTCACCTTTTGACATATGTATCTTTCCTGAACTATCATGATTTCTATAAATGGCAAAAATTCCACAAATTTAGCTTTGAGTCTCAGTCTAGTAGGATGTTAAGCCATCTGTTAAACTTCTCAGAGCCTCAATTTTCTCACCAGTAAGATGGGAGTAAAAACATTTACTTTGATGGGCAGATATGAAGACTGAATATGATAGTTTATAGGAAAGTACCTGGGAGCCCCTCATACATATTAGTTCTATAATGTGCAGGTTTACTAATGAAGGTAGACTCTAGCTGGAGTGCCTTTTTAGAATATAGGCACTGAATCTCAGAGCTTCTAGAACTTGTATATACAAATGCAGTTTAAATTCTCAGCACTCTAGAAACACTTGATGATAAATGTCTTTAAATAGGATCCAGTAGGTCATAAGTGATCTTTGAAAATGAAAAAAATTAAAAGCCATGAATTAGCCCCATGAAATAGAATAAACCCCCATTTCCTGGGGACTCCTTATTTTGTCGTCCTCTTATCCAATACCTGGTGGGCATTCTGGTACAAGAACCTCTTCTCTCACAGACGAATTTGGGAAACGAAAACAGTATCTATAAAAATAACAATCATAATTATTCCAGTGATACAGTCTACTATAGTTTAAATTGCTTCTCCCCTCCCCCCTAAAATTAAGGTAGATTCTTATTGTAAACTGGAAGTTAATGTCTGAAGTAAAAAAACTAATTTAGAAAATAATAGCATATTATTCTTTTAAGATATAGTTAGTGGAGAGATTGCTCTGCTTAATGCTGCTGGAGAAAATACTAGTCCTAAATACCAAGATCTGGACATTGAATACAAAAAAGTAAAAAAAGTAGCAAAACCACAAATCTAAAAAAAAAAAAAAAGCTACATGCAAAATGCTTGTCTTTGAAAACTCATAAGCCTTTTTCTATCTAAGAATTTTCTAACCCACGGGTAAAAACAACAAAGCAGGATCATGTAAAGTATCTAAAAAAAGTCCCTCATTAAAAGTAAAATAGAATTGCCCTGGCCAGGTGGCTCAGTTTGTTGGAGCGTTGTCCTGTACACCAAAAGGCTGTGGTTTGATCCTGGGTTGGGGCTGTACCAGAGGCAACTGATTAATGTTTCTCTCTTTCTCTCTCTCTCATCAATAAAAGCATATCCTTGGGTAAGGATTAATTTTTAAAATTTCAAGTTCTTTCTCAACATGAAAAGTTATTTTGTTATTTGTTCTTACCCAAGATCTCAGATCCCACAAATGCCACAAAAGCCACTAACCAACAGTGCCCCACCAGTGTTAGACTCAAGATTGCTTGTAATCAGGGAGGCATTGTGAGTGGCTGGGATGGATTTTTTGACCCTGAACAAAGGTCAGACTGAGTTATAACTGGGTGCTTATGTACTGACTGGTTCACTGGGTAATGGGCTGAGCACTATGGTAGCTTCTCAGGTCAGGAACTTACACTTCTGTGTCCCCTCCGTCTCTAGCACAAAGCCCTGGCTATGGCAGATGGATAGTAAGTGATGATCAGCCCTGCCTGTGGCACTTTCCTTTTCTTCAGGAAGAATAATTTGTATTTCAGGCATATTGTGGATGCAGTGATATGACCCTCTCCCTCTCCCTTCATATGACAAACACAAGGACTATCCAAAGAGAGTCCCAGCTTGTAGTTACACCTATCCATTATGTCCGACCATCTGCACAGGGACTGAAGTCTCTAATTCATCTCCACACTAGCAGAGAGATTGGATTATTGATTTGTGAGTGAAAAGTAGCTAAAAGTGAAATGTCACTCTTATCTTGATAAACATCTGGAATTGCTTTGGGAATATAGGTATGCACAAGACAAAGTCCAAACTGTTACTGGTTTCCTCTGTTATTGATTACTGCTAAGACGCAGAACTTTCCTGAACAACCAACTTCATCCATAGACATGGGCTTCCATCTCTAATGAAATTAATACCCATCCAGTTTAACTTGGGACTGTTCATTGTCGTCAGTCACGAGCCCATTCAGTGCGTGCTCAATGCTGTACTAAGTGCTCTTAGGTTAGCCCTTGAAATAAAGACGCGATTGACTGCTGGATCATTCAGGCAGGCACGGCGACTCCTAAGAGGCATGCACTTCAGAGGCTGGGGGAGAGAGTGGAAACGGAGGCTAACCATGGAGAACTATGCCAGTTCACACTTGAATGTGAAAACATGGTACAGGGAAAATTCGAAGTGAGAAATACAAAAGGGCAAGAGAGCTGAAAAAGATTTGGAGTATGTAGATTATTATAAATGGGAAGCACCGGCAGCGCTTCAGGTCATTTTCAGTGGAGCATCAGGGGGGATGATGCTATTATTTTTCTCATAAATATTTTCTGTTCTCTTTGTCAAGATCTCCCTCATCCAGGACCATAAAGATCCTCTTGAATTAATGGAAGCAGAGCTGATTGAAGAAGAACTTAACGTCGAGGATGAGGTATGAGCATTATTTCCTTTCAAAGAAAATAATTTGGATTAAATCTTGAATAGAGTAATACATATAGTGACTATGTCTGATACAAACTAGAGAAAACATTTTTTAAACCAAGACCCAAAGGCGGGGGAGAAAGACCCAAAGGATGGCTTATGAGAAAGGGGAAAATGGAAAACAAGAATTTTCCCTTGAAGACATTAAGAACTTGGGGACCTTCTGCCCCCAGACATACAGGATCAGCAACTGGAAGCTGCCGACACACCGGTCCTGATTTTAAGCCTAAGCCTCCGGATACTTTTTCTTCCCGAGATTTCAGGAGTAGAGGAAAGGTGATTAGAGTGCATTTCTAACCCAGGAGTTTCATAAGCTTCAGAGATAGTATGTGAGGAACAGGAACCTCATGATAATGACTTAGAAAAGACTGAGTCTATGTATTTCTGATGCCCTTGGGGACATCAGTCAATTCCTAGGAAATCTGACTGCAACTTGTTATCTGAGTGAACATTGTGGCTCCACCACTGGGCCTAACAAAAGAAGATCAGAGAAATTGAAAGTTGAAACATGACTTAGAAATCAAGTAGTGCTCACACAGAAATCCCTCTACAGCACGTCTAAGGATGTTCTCTCAGCTTTTGTGTGAACGTTTCCAGACATTGGAAACTAGTAGCTTTTTAAAAATATATATTTTTTTATTGATTTCAGAGAGGAAGGGAGATAGAAACATCAGTGATGAGAGAGAATCATTACTCGGCTGCCTCCTGCATGACCCATACTGGGGATCAATTGAGTCCACAACCCAGGCATGTGCCCTGACCAGGAATTGAGCCATGACCTCCTGGTTCACAGGTCAAAGCTCAACACTGACTGGGCAGCAACTAATAGCTTTCCAGGGAATGTGTTACATGATTGGAAATCTCCAAGTGTTCGTTGTGCTTACAAAACTAAAGTTGGCCTTTCTCTAATAGCTGGTGGCTGAGATCGGCCTTTTCTAGCGATACAAACCCTCCCACGAACAGCCCTTAAATATCTGAGAGTATCTTTGAGGTCTCCACCAGACTCTGCTCCAGGTGGGACTCCTCCAGTTCCCTTTACCATTCCTGATAGACACACAATTTGGCATGGCTTCTCTGGCAAAGAAGGGGACACAACACCGTAGATAGGGTTAGGCCAGCATGGAGGTTATGCAACCATGACCTACCTTGGTCTCATCAAGATGTTTCTATTACTATGACTTAAAAAATGTGTTTATTTTCATCATAGCTACATCAAAATCTTTGCTTTTGTTGAGCAGGGGTCAACTAAAGACTTGGGCATTTTCACATAAATTGTCATCCAGCAGGGTTCCCCGTTTATATTTATGTAATTGGTTCTTGACCCCCTGGTGCAGGACTACACATTTCTGATAGATTATATCTTGTCTGTTCTGTTGAAGAACATCCTTTTGAATGCTGAATCTATAAGCTGAATCTATCATCCAGCATATTAATTACGCACCCCCACTGGTGTCATATGCAAATCTGATAAGCATGCCTTCTCTGCCTTATTCCAGGTCCCGATAAAAATGTTGAGAAGCATAATATTCAAACCCCTATGGTAAAATCAGGCAGTGAGGAGGACAGGCTGAGAAGACTTTTGCGGAGGAAATACACTGCTAGGGTGAAAACTGGAGGTCCTGCATCTTAGCCCATCAGCTTAGTGAGCCCAGGAACATCATCTCTGGGTAGTAGTTTATGACTATGGATAGAGGGCCAACTTAGTTGAGTACAAACTCATATATCAAAATTGGTACTTAAAAAAATTCCACATTATATAGATTTTTAAAAATTTATCTTTATTATTGAAAGTATTACAAATGTCTCCCTTTCCCCCCATTGACCTCTTCTACCACCCTGCCCCTTTCCTCCCCCCACTTTCCCCACACTATTGTATGTGTCCATGGGTTATGCATATATGCATATAATGCTTTGGTTAATCTCTTCCGGCCCCCCTCCTCACTTCCCTCTGAGATTCGTCAGTATGTTCCATGCTTAGAAGTATTTTTGATTGCCATATAACAAGATCATTCAGGTAGAATTCCTGCAGAGAGTGAGGCAGTATGCAGAGTGGTTTTAAGGACATGGACTATAGAACCAGATGGATTTGAGTGCAAACCTTGATTCTGCTACTTACTGGCTATGTAGCCCAGGGCAAATTACTTACCTGTCTTCATGTAAAATAGGAAGAATAATTCCTCAAAGAGTTGTGGGAATTAAAGAATGTGTATTAAGTGCTCAATAATTAGTAATTATTGCTTTTAAATAAATCTAATTAAATGATGAAGAGTTACAAAATTAAGTTTTCACCCTATTTTTATCATGACAATATATAACTAAGATGAGCAAATGCAAGCAACCAACACTAACATTTTCATATTTGTCAAAAGACTGAAGGAGAATTCAGTTGTATTAACACTTTGTTTCCCCTTTGTTTCCACAGGCTATGCGTAGCCTTGCTTCCTGAAAGCGGGCTCAGGGGCCAGATAAGCAAGGACTGCAAGGCAGAGTTCAACCACCAATGTCATTCTATGCAAGCGTTTTCTGCATCGACTACTTCTTTGGACTTGAAACACTCATTCATTTTCCATTCGATTTTTAAAATATACATATTTTTATTGATTTCAGAGAAGAAAAGAGAGAGGGAGAGAGAGCTAGAAACACCAATGATGAGAGAGAACCATCGATTAGCTGCCCCACACTGGGGATCGAGCCCGAAACCTGGGCACGTGCCCCAACCGGGAATTGAACCAAGACCTCCAGTTCATAGGTCGATGCTCAACCACTGAGCCACACCAGTTGGGCCCATTAGATTTTTAAAAAACCTTTGTGTGTGTTTTTTAAACATCTTAACCATTAAAAGAAAGAGATTTAAAATTGTTTCTAGGCTTTATTTATAAAATAAATAGCTTACCTCCAAAATGTGTAAAATGGTGAGGAGAATTACCCTGGCAATGTAACAGTGTCTAGCTAGGACCTGCTTATGTCATGCTGCTGTACCTCTGACACGTTGGCTAACACTGTTCGTGTGGGAACTGGGTACCTCTGTTCAGTCGGGATAAGTGTGACCCAACAGCCCCTGTGGGCAGTTGAGCCAGGAATGATCATCATGGGAACATTCCATTTCTGACCGGCCTGCATCCCCATAAGCTGCACTGAATCACAGGGTGAGGGCCCACCGAGTAAACGCTGATATAGAATTGTTAATGCATTTATCAATAAAGGCCTTCAAAAATCACTTCTGGTAAACACGTCAAAGAGTTTTTAAAATGCAAATTTGGTTATTACTTAATTATGAATGTTACAGTGACCATATATGTAACCAGAATTCAGAATCAAGGTCCACTTCAAAGCTGCAGAACTGAACTGATATATTTTAAAAGCATTGATTTAGAGAGGTGAAGCAGTAAGAAGATTATTGTGGTTTATCAAAATCACCTTTTGGTATGATAATCATGGATCACAATTAGGATCAAATAAAATATATGAAAGACTATCTCTGCCTTAAAAATGCAATTTTAACTTAGTTTATAGAAATAATCATTGTGTAGAGTTACATAGCGGTATGGTCTATTTCAAACCTACTACAAAAATTGTGTTATTTTGAACAAAAAACAATTTTGATATGTTTGTAAGACTGTGGTGATTAAAATAAGTTTATGTTTTTCTCTAAAATTTAGCAGTATGTAAAGTAAGTGATCTTTAACTGAATTCTGACCACCTTTCAAAAAAATCTAAAAAGTAAATAATTTGGATATAACTCTATGTTTAAAATGAGTTTTTTAAGACAGAACAGTCTACATGAACTCAATAGCAAAAGAAAAAATGGTTTGGAATATTTACATCGAAAATGTTTAGGTTTTTAAAAATCCATATTTTGAGCCAGAAAATATGTTAATTTTACTTAATCTTTTCTGACTGCCAACAATTTTCTAGGCATTATATATAATACATAAGCTGTGGTTCCGAGGACTATTCCCATATACAGGGTGTCCCCCCAAAATGTATACACACTTTAACAGCTGATAGTTCAATTTTGAAAATGAAATGTATTTTAATAAACATGCCTTTATAATTATTCAAAGTGTGTGTATACATTTTGGGGGGACACCCTACATTTCATGCTCAAGTAAATGAAGTTGTACTGCATTTCTAGGGAAAAATAAACACTCAGGTCCCCAATGGACACAATGTCTTACATGGTTGAGAATTATATCCTACCTTTGGCACAGATGTGGGAAATTCCCAAATCCAAAGGCAGCATGTCTTACCTCTGTTTTTTCTTATATAAATGAGAAACAAGGTCTCTACTTCTGAAGGAATATCATCAGTGAGCATACCAAATTGGTTAAAAGAATCATCATCGCCATCCCCACCCCCATTCTGCACATTGGAATTTGAATTAGTTGTAATGGATTGTGATGTTACAATATTCTTTCATGCTCATGGGTTATTCTGTCTTTAATTGACTTAGAAAAGATTTCTCCCCATGCTGGGTACAGTATAACCAGGATTATGTTATCTCATTTTCACAGTAATACCTGCTTATAATGGCAACAAATCATATCTCTAAAGAGTGAATATAAAAGTCTTGCAGAAAATGGATGAATACCTCTGTTCAATAGAGGAAATATGCACTGCTTATTTTTTTTGTTAGTTGAAGGAAATAACCAAAGTAATCCTTTACAATAAGGCTAGAGTTTTGTGAAATCCTGGTTCCCTTTGTGACTATATAAGACCAGGGTATTTGACTAGTTTCCCAAGCAATAGGAATACTCTCTTCCATGCATTTTTAAATAATATACATATTTTAATTCTGTATTGCCAATGGAAAATTTACTTGAAATTAAAATTGTTTTTTGTTATGTTTTTAACGTATAAAAGAGTCCAGTGTTGTATATGAATTTCAATAAATAAAGATATCAAATTGTACATTTGGAAATTACTGCACATATTTCTTAAATTAAATGTAAAGTTATCTTTTAAATACTCTACTGTGTCCCTTCTGAACAAAACTATTAAATATAATTAAAAATGCTAAATTTTAAGTTTGCAATTACTCTTATCACTCAGGCAAAAAAAAACACTGACGGCATTAAGGAAGGGAGAGAAATAAAAAAGGAATTAATTGAAGAAACAGAAAAAAAGGAGGGTTAAAATAAAAGATGGAGAGGAGAAGTCAGGAAGAAATAGGAATAATAAAATTTGGTTGTGGGCAAAGAAATTCAAATAGAGGATTAATTTCAATACAATCATTTAAGAATTCAGATAACTTAGCAACACTCCTCCCATACTAGCTTGTGATTCTTGGTCCCCCTTACCTGGCTCTATTTTCTTCCCACATAATAGTTATCACCTGCTAGAATGCTCTAGAATTCACTTACTACTGTTTATTTTCTTTCCAGGCCTCCTCCCCTATGCTAGAACTTAGGCTTCACTAGGGCAGGGTTCTTTGTTTTATTCTTGGACATATACCAAGCACTAGAAGAGTGAAGAGTGCCAGGCACACAGTAGGTGCTTAACAAATACTGTTGGAAGACTGAAATAAGCTGCAGTGATGCTAAATAAGGCCAACATAGTTAGTGGATGGCAGTCGCCTGAGTGTATAAGACATTCAGAGTTTCCTGGGCTTCTCAGGCCTACTCTAGCACTCGCAGACTCTGTTCATTGTGAATCTGCTAAGTTGCCCACTTCATTCTTTTCTTCAGGAGCATCTTTGGACCCGGACACAGAGGAACAGGATCTTCTAGCTTCAAGGCCATCTCTAATGCACTATTTTATATCTTAGATCAAGTACTCCAGTATTCTGAGTCCCTCCCCCCTTAAAAAAAACTTTATATTTTGAAACACAGATTCACAGGAATTTGCAAAGAACGGTACAGCAAGATTCCCATGCAGCCTTCACCCAGCCTCCCCCAATGTTAACATCTGGCATAACTGCAGTGCAACATAAAACCCAGGAAACTGGCATTGGTACACACCATAGATCTTATTCATATTTCACCAGTTACACATATGCTCATCTGTGTGTGTGTGTGTCTCTATGTAATTATATGCCAACTATAGTTTCATGTAAACACCACCACAATCAAGGTGCTTAACTGTACCATCAGCACAAGACTCCTTCTGAGGGCCCTTTTTAAAAAGCACTGCAAGGCCGGAACCGGTTTGGCTCAGTGGATAGAGCGTCGGCTGCGGACTAAAGGGTCCCAGGTTCGATTCCGGTCAAGGGCATGTACCTGGGTTGCGGGCACAATCCAGTGGGGGAGGGGGATGTGCAGGAGGCAGCTGATCAATGTTTCTCTCTCATCGATGTTTCTAACTCTCTATCTCTCTCCCTTCCTCTCTGTAAAAAATCAATAAAATATATTTTTTTAAAAAAAACAAATAAATAAAATAAAAAGCACTGCAAGGACAGATACACCTGTTCACATCCCAGCATCCCAGACTTATGGCTGGAGCTGGAGGAGCCCCTCTCAGATTAATGCTTCCTATGGCCAGGACAAGTTGAACACCTACTCTTCTATTTTAGAATTTGTTTGTGATTTGCACTTGTATTCATTACCAGCCCAGTCATGGGGGGGCTCTCGGCCATTCAGGAGGAGCATCTGAAGGTCACCCTTCAGAGAAAAAGAAAGGCACAAGTTCTTGGCAACCAGCCCTGCAAGTTGGTGGAGACTCTTTGGAAGGGAGACCAGGCATGGCGGTTGTCTTAGTTCCCGCTGCTGTAACACATTACCAAAGACTGGGGGCTGAAACAACACACATTTATTCCTCTCAGTTCTGGAGGCTACAAGTCAGCTCTTGGTGAGTGCCCTCCTCCTGGTTTGAGAGGGCTGTGTTCTTGCTGTGTTCTCACATAGCTGGCTCTCTGGCCTCTTCTTATAAGAGCACTAATCCCATCGTGAGGGCTCCACTCTTCTATTCACCCCACCTCCAAACACCATCACTTATGATTTTGAAATTGACATAGAAATTTTGGAAGGGGACACATTTGAGTCATTGCTGCTCTCTTCAAGACACCTGTGATCGAGGTGGCACTGCCGCACATGAGGACAGACTCTGATCTCTGCGAGTTGATCAAAGTCGTCAACCTTATCCCATCCAGGTGAATTCACTTCCCAGCTCATCAATTTGTGGTAAATCAGGCACATCAGGATCCTGTAACCCATTCCCCCATGCCTATACCATACACAAAGGAGGCCTGGCCATCCTTCTATCCCCTGCAGAGAACTACCGAGGTGAATAGAGAGGTCTGGACCATTCGAACACACTGGGGAGCTCATGACCTTTCTCTAGTAAGCTCCTAATTAAGTGGGTAAGGGAAGGAAGTGGTGAGAAATGAGGCTGGGAGGTGGACTGGAGCCAGATTATGAGGGGCCTTGTATACCACATTAAGGATCTTGAATTTTATCCTCAACTCTGGTAAGAGATAAGGGCAGAATGGCCGGGTTACATTACTTAGCTAATCCAGTCAACTGACCTGGATACCCAGAAATAGATTCAGAAGGTGCAATTAAAGTAGAAATGAATGAAGCCTTTGTTGTTTAGTTTCCAAGGAGAGAGTAACAGATGGACATGGACATATTAGCTTTTGTGATTTAGAAAAAACAAGCCTATTCCCTGGATGTGATTTTATTTCCCTAGTTTTATCCTTTTAAATACAATTTTAATATTCTATTATCTATAATGATATGAGGCATTACTTTCATAATTAAAA